TCTGAAAACTTATTATCCTTACGAAAGATACTTTTTCGCTGTGTGGGAGAAATTAGATATTAATTATAAAAAAATTAAAAATTAGATAATAGTATATTAATTGCGGAAAATCCTGAGCTAAAAAATAATTAATTTATCATCTAGGCTTACGGACTACGTCTCTTTGTTTTTTAGCAATCATTCTACTCGATTTATCTCTTTCAAAATCAATGACTCTATCGAGACTTTTTTTGTATCAATTTAAATTGATTAAATATTTAATTAATAATTATTTAAATATATAAAGCAAAACCTTGGACGTTCCTTCTTACAAAAGAATATTTTAATTATTGTAATAAAATCATCCACAGTTTCGTTTGTAATCCAGAAACTATCCATCGCGAATGTCTTCTTACTCGTTCCTTATTAGAACTTATGAATATCGACTCTTTACTTATTTCCGCGCGAGTAAAATATTTTAAAATGTATTAAAATATTCAAAATCTCAAATAATTATAAACGCGTTTGAGCAAGAAGACCCTATCCTTATTTAATAAATAAATAAAAAAATAAGAAACCATTCACGAGTAAATCTCCGAAGAAATTTACTCGTGGTCACTCAATGCTCTTCTACTAATTAATTACAACCAATCACCCGTGCCGATTTGGACCTCTCGTCCTCGACATGATTAAGTGATTGGAGGGACTTAAAAATTCACTCACTACTTAAGAAGTTCTGCGATGGCTCCAAAACACTCGTTCAGATCGAAATTGAGAGTGGACGGTTCGTATGTGGTTGAAAATTAGGTAGGTCGACACCGAAGTTGATCAAGAATCTCTTCAATGATGCACTGACTCTATATCGCGATAGTTATTTTTTAACGAACGATCACTGAATTTACTTCGCGAAACTCTACTGTCTTTCATAAATACAAGCTACGCGACTGTTAAAAAATTAATAAAGTTTGCGAACAAACACTGACTCTAACGACTGCATTGCACGCAGACGTTGCAAAAACTTTTGCTTTTTAAATCGCGAAACGCGAACGAACGAACACTGCTTCTACTTTGGGATATTCATATTTAAGAGATACAAATATTCGATTACAACATTGGTTCCCAAGCGATTGCAATGACGTTCTGAAATAACAAAAAAAAACAAAATTATTAATATCACCGTTATAACAAGAAATTGTATAAATTATAGAAGAAACGTAAGATATAAAAATATATTTACCTTAATATTTGTTGATACTTGCAACGAAGACATCCTGAGACACTTTAGATGTTTCCTCGTCAAAAGAAAAAGGAGAAATGATTCGGTAATCGCGATTTACAATTTTTAATGTTTAAATAAATGTACTATTGTTTAAATATTACTCTATTCTATCCCGCGTGCAATAAAAATCGTTTAAATGATTATAAAATTAGCGAAAATATTAATTTATAAGCTTTAGCGTTTAGAAAAGACAATCGCGATGTGTCCAGGTCGAAGAGCAAGAGGAAACTAACTCGCGAACTGTCAAAGTCGTGACAAAGTGCGTTTATGTTTATATTACACGAGGCAACTACTCCGAAATTAAAAATTTAAAGTAATAGAAATTTATATTAAAATTATTGTAAGTCACGCGCGCGTTTCAGACTTTTTAATGTTTAAATAAATGTACTATTGTTTAAATATTACTCTATTCTATCCCGCGTGCAATAAAAATCGTTTAAATGATTATAAAATTAGCGAAAATATTAATTTATAAGCTTTAGCGTTTAGAAAAGACAATCGCGATGTGTCCAGGTCGAAGAGCAAGAGGAAACTAACTCGCGAACTGTCAAAGTCGTGACAAAGTGCGTTTATGTTTATATTACACGAGGCAACTACTCCGAAATTAAAAATTTAAAGTAATAGAAATTTATATTAAAATTATTTTTAATCCCGCGCGCGATTCAGACTTTTTAATGTTTAAATAAATGTACTATTGTTTAAATATTACTCTATTCTATCCCGCGTGCTATAAAAATCGTTTAAATGATTATAAAATTAGCGAAAATATTAATTTATAAGCTTTAGCGTTTAGAAAAGACAATCGCGATGTGTCCAGGTCAAAGAGCAAGAGGAAACTAACTCGCGAACTGTCAAAGTCGTGACAAAGTGCGTTTATGTTTATATTACACGAGGCAACTACTCCGAAATTAAAAATTTAAAGTAATAGAAATTTATATTAAAATTATTGTAAGTCACGCGCGCGTTTCAGACTTTTTAATGTTTAAATAAATGTACTATTGTTTAAATATTACTCAATTCTACCCCGCGTGCAATAAAAATCGTTTAAATGATTATAAAATTAGCGAAAATATTAATTTATAAGCTTTAGCGTTTAGAAAAGACAATCACGATGTGTCCAGGTCGAAGAGCAAGAGGAAACTAACTCGCGAACTGTCAAAGTCGTGACAAAGTGCGTTTATGTTTATATTACACGAGGCAACTACTCCGAAATTAAAAATTTAAAGTAATAGAAATTTATATTAAAATTATTGTAAGTCACGCGCGCGTTTCAGACTTTTTAATGTTTAAATAAATGTACTATTGTTTAAATATTACTCAATTCTACCCCGCGTGCAATAAAAATCGTTTAAATGATTATAAAATTAGCGAAAATATTAATTTATAAGCTTTAGCGTTTAGAAAAGACAATCACGATGTGTCCAGGTCGAAGAGCAAGAGGAAACTAACTCGCGAACTGTCAAAGTCGTGACAAAGTGCGTTTATGTTTATATTACACGAGGCAACTACTCCGAAATTAAAAATTTAAAGTAATAGAAATTTATATTAAAATTATTGTAAGTCACGCGCGCGTTTCAGACTTTTTAATGTTTAAATAAATGTACTATTGTTTAAATATTACTCAATTCTACCCCGCGTGCAATAAAAATCGTTTAAATGATTATAAAATTAGCGAAAATATTAATTTATAAGCTTTAGCGTTTAGAAAAGACAATCACGATGTGTCCAGGTCGAAGAGCAAGAGGAAACTAACTCGCGAACTGTCAAAGTCGTGACAAAGTGCGTTTATGTTTATATTACACGAGGCAACTACTCCGAAATTAAAAATTTAAAGTAATAGAAATTTATATTAAAATTATTGTAAGTCACGCGCGCGTTTCAGACTTTTTAATGTTTAAATAAATGTACTATTGTTTAAATATTACTCTATTCTATCCCGCGTGCAATAAAAATCGTTTAAATGATTATAAAATTAGCGAAAATATTAATTTATAAGCTTTAGCGTTTAGAAAAGACAATCGCGATGTGTCCAGGTCGAAGAGCAAGAGGAAACTAACTCGCGAACTGTCAAAGTCGTGACAAAGTGCGTTTATGTTTATATTACACGAGGCAACTACTCCGAAATTAAAAATTTAAAGTAATAGAAATTTATATTAAAATTATTGTAAGTCACGCGCGCGTTTCAGACTTTTTAATGTTTAAATAAATGTACTATTGTTTAAATATTACTCTATTCTATCCCGCGTGCAATAAAAATCGTTTAAATGATTATAAAATTAGCGAAAATATTAATTTATAAGCTTTAGCGTTTAGAAAAGACAATCGCGATGTGTCCAGGTCGAAGAGCAAGAGGAAACTAACTCGCGAACTGTCAAAGTCGTGACAAAGTGCGTTTATGTTTATATTACACGAGCCAACTACTCCGAAATTAAAAATTTAAAGTAATAGAAATTTATATTAAAATTATTTTTAATCCCGCGCGCGATTCAGACTTTTTAATGTTTAAATAAATGAACTATTGTTTAAATATTACTCGATTCTATCCCGCGTGCAATAAAAATCGTTTAAATAATTTATTTTATTTATATCTCTTTTGAAATTATTTACATTTATTATAAAATTTATATACATAATTTCTTGGAAAAGAATCGTGCCGTAAAATGCTGTTTTTTCTTTTTTTTGAGAGTAGTGCATGTATGAAAATAAAAATTTTGTAACAATTCAAAAATCGACCTCTGGATGATGTAGAACTTCCACATGTTATTGCCATTATGCATACATTATGTGCATATGTGTTTATTCTTTAATTGTTTTCATTTATTACAAAGACGTATTTATTTTCTTATATATATATATATGAATATTTTCCTATTTATATTTATATTCTGTATTATACCTTCGACTCATCTTGTAAATATGATATAATAATTTGAATATACTATGAAAAAATATAATATACTGATATAAATTATTAATACATTTATCTCCTTCATGTATGACATATATCAATTTTTAATTTAAACAAAATTATATATAGTTTTTGACGTAATGTATACAATCTAATATAAACTATATACATGTATCAAGTAATGAGAATTTTTATGTCCATATGTGTACTCGTAAAACTATACATTAGATTTCAAAAAATTTAGCAGAAGACCAATTTTATAATAAAGATTATATTTTTTTTTTAAACGAAGTAATGTGGTTTCTTAACTATAATGCCATATTCAGCAACAGCGGGCGTCAAATCTTCCATAGTAAGCATATAACGACGATCCTTTCCTTTTGTTTTTGTATTTTGATTAGCACCACGTGTTTTGCAGTGTTGAAGGGCATCATTAGCAATTTCGGAAATAAATTTCTGAGCTGCTAAGGATACTAAACGTACTCTGTAATTCAATGTTAATTATAAATAGTTATTAACTCTTTTATACCGATATATTTACTTACATTTTATTGCCTAATTGAATTTTTATACTTACATTCTTGGATCGGTTGTATTAAAACCAGCAGTATGCAAGTAATGTTCGCTAATAGCATCAGGCACCTACAATGAATGATAATAAAGAAACATAAAATTATGTATGAATAATAGAAATATTTCAAGTTTTATATACCGTTGGTGTATAATCTTCTAGTTGTAAAAGAAAATCTGAGAGTGGTTGACCAGCTGTTTTTGGTTCTTCATTTGTATACATTGTTGGAAGATCCCTTTCAAAGTTTTCTGTCATGTTTCTTTAATATTATTAATTATTTCTTACGATTCAAAATTGACAACAATATTATAAGATTTATTAGGTTATTATCTGTAAATGTAAAATGTATACATTTAAATATATACACGTTATTCATAAATGAAATATACGTTATATTGAATATAATTTATAATAAAACTTACATTACGACGTTTAATTAAAATGTTATTATTGAAAAATTCATCAAATATTCTGGAATACACTCTCCGAATTGTAACGATAGATTCGTAAATAAGGTTATGAACGATGTTCTTGGCATTAAAAATATCATCTGCTACTCGCGCCCTCTGTAGGGCGCATTTTGAGATAAGATAATTAAGCGCTAAATTTAAATGTAAATATTTTAAGCATTCACTCGTTTTATTATTGGTGCATTTCTTAGCTTTTTCTTAAAATCCCTTAATGCTAATTAAATAGAAATAATTATAAACCATCGGTGTGTATATATATATATATATGATTGATGTATTTGTACATTTGTACATGTAAAGAATATATGTTTTATATGTATTAATTCTATTTCATATTTATAATACGTAATTTTTTATATTGAAATTGACATGAGATAATAAAAAATACATATCTACATATATAACTGTTTAACATGGTGCACAGCATGGCATGCAAGGTAAACAGGGTGGTGGACATGGCGGTGGACATGGCGGTGGACATGGTACGCATGGAACACACGGATCACAGGGACCGCAAGGACCACAAGGACCACAAGGACCACAAGGACCACAAGGGGCACAAGGACCACAAGGGGCACAAGGACCACAAGGGGCACAAGGACCACAAGGGGCACAAGGACCACAAGGGGCACAAGGACCACAAGGGGCACAAGGACCACAAGGGACACAAGGACCACAAGGGGCACAAGGACCACAAGGGGCACAAGGACCACAAGGGACACAAGGACCACAAGGACCACAAGGGGCACAAGGACCACAAGGGGCACAAGGACCACAAGGGGCACAAGGGGCACAAGGACCACAAGGATCACAGGGGCCGCAAGGATTACAAGGTGGACAAGGTGGACAAGGTGGACAAGGTGGACAAGGTGGAGGTGAGCAGCAACTTATACATGGTGGAGGGCAAACAGGTGATGGACAAGCGTTATTGCAAACAAGTCTGCAATATGCCGCTAATGCAGATTCTCTTGCTTGATCTGCACAATGGAACTTCTTAAGAGCTACACTTATATCTCCTAAATCTGTTAGCTTCAGAAGGGCGCTAGTTCCAGGTCCACAAACTGGATATAGTTTTGTCATACACTCTGGTCGACCCATACAATCCCACATCATGCATCTATCTTGTAATCCATTCCTCCTGATACACTCGCATCGATACATTATACTTGCACGAAGATTATAGCTTTTACATCGTTTGACAGGCTCCTATTTAAAATTTATATTACTTTTCTATTTTTTTTTCTTTCTAATGATCATATCCTTGTAACTTACGCAACAAGGATCACAACAATTCGTAATTGGACAATAAGTAGGTGGCGGACACGGTGGTTCATCCCATTCGCATGGTTTTCTATAAAAAATAATTTATAAATATATCAATTTTATTTTAATGTATATCTTCTTACTTTCTATCCATGGAACTGACTAAACATTTTAGTTGTGCTAATAATTCACGTCTTCTGTCACAATTTGGATTTTTCCCATCGCAAGGCATGTTTAATTTAAATCATAAACATATATACTTGAAATTTATCTATAAATTTTGTCCTTTTTTTTTTTTTTTTTTTTTATTTCTTTTTTATCGTAAAAATTATCAAATTGTTTAAATATGCATCTTACTAAATTAATTTGCCACGTACAACATTGAATTTATAAGAATCATATATTATTCCATTAGGTTTTTCTTTTTTTGTTATTTTGGAAGTAGTTGTCATAGCAATCGACTGTCATATTATATGTAACGACAGTATAAACTCTCAATACATTTTACTCAAATTTTTTAAGTAACTCTTTAAAAATATTGTTTAAACGATTAACAATTATGCATTTCATTAATTGATACTTAATGAGTTAATAAAATTTCAAAGGAGAAAAAGAATAATTAAGAAAAGTACAAAAAAAGAGTACAAAAGAAAATTGAAGAAACATGAACTGCAATAAATTCTCCCCAACGTGTTCACCAACATGTTCACCAGTAAATCCTTGCTGTCTATCTACTTGTTCACCTTGTCCACCATGCGCACCTTGTTCGCCATGTTCACCTTGCCCACCTTGTCCACCGTGCGCGCCTTGTCCGCCATGTTCACCTTGCCCACCTTGTCCACCGTGCGCGCCTTGTCCGCCATGTTCACCCTGCCCACCTTGTCCACCTTGTCCACCATGCGTGCCATGTGCACCTTGTCCACCGCCATGTCTACCGTGTCCACCACCATGTAGGATTACAATATGTACACCACCTATATCTTGTGGTCATTGTCCACCAAAATGTGTTCCTTATTGTCCACCTCCGTGTCCTCCAGCATGTCCACCAAGATGTCTTACAAGAGTAGCAACACGTCCCGTGAAGTGGGCAGTAATGTTTTAAAACATGTTTTTATATTTAACGATTGTCTTTTATATATTATATACGTACAAGAAATTGTATAAGAGTTATTAATAAAAATTACGTATATTTTCTTTTTAACATGATCTTTGTAACATTGATCATTTATAAAAGGCCATTAAATGTTAATGAATTTATAAACATTTCTATCGATTTGTAGTAAAACACCTTGCTCATTCAATTTTGATAAAAACCGAGTGAAATCTTGTATATTAATACCTCCATTTATTGCTATTTCGTTCAGCTGTGATAAAGAGAAAAATTTTTGTCCATTTGATTTGATTTCATCTTCTAGTAACCTTATAAATATTTTTACCTGTTAGAAAAAATAATGGCATAAATTAATGAATAATTTTAAGACTAAATATTTTTAATACTAAATATATAAGTAGTGTGCGCGTATATATATATATATATATATATATATATATACTTTTCCCTCTGTAGGTTTGTTTCTATGTTGTAATTTCAACGTTGAATTTTCATACATGTTCATCATTGCGTACTCTAATATTTTTACTACTTCCAGAGCATCTAACTCTGTAGCCTCAACACGCAATTCCAACTTTGCTCTGGCCTGTTCAAAGTTCAAAGTTATTGTTATCTACTGGAAAAAAAGTTGTAAACATAATTTTGTAGTGCGCAATGACAAACCTCGGTTAATCTAATCATTGCTTCTAGCTGCCTATTGTATATCGGTATACCGCCAAATTCTATATTCCTTGATCTGAGTTCCAGGTAATACTTTTGCAATACTTCTGCTGCCTTAACAGTTAATTTTGGATAAACATATTGACGGGCATATAGGATATATTTTTTCAATATAAACTGTGGTATGATATCTTTAGATTGTGTTAGTGAAAACATTAGTTTTTCTCTGAAACAAATATAGAATAGTTTGGTGTAATATATAAAATTGATATCCCTTAATATAAACTAACTCCTTAAATTACCTTAAAGAATCGTCTTGTGACATTGACTGCATTGATTTATCGTTGCTTGGACTCTTCTCTATCTTGTCATTTGTACCAATATGGGATGACATGATATGTTTACATATTAAATGATCGCGTTGCTATTACAAAGACATTAAATTATTATAAAATATTAATGTAAAACTTAAGGGAGTAAATATTTTCTTATGAATATCAAGATACTTTATCTGGATCATCCAGGAGTAAAAAGATTAAATCAAATCTTGAAAGAAGAGGTTGACTTATGTTTAAATTTTGTAAAATTGTCTTGCTTCTGTCGTATCTGCCACCAATGTGATTCGCAGCTGCGAGAACCGATGTTCTAGAAGGAAGAGAACACAGTATCCCGGATTTAGCAACACTGACACTTTGCTGTTCCATAGATTCCAATAGAGCCTACAAAATATATTACCTTTTTATACAATTGAAAGAAAAATAAAAATGTTTACATTTATAATTTTTACATTTATATACCTGATGTTGCACAGACATTTTATCAAATTCATCAATGCAACAACAACCACCATCTGCTAACACTAAAGCACCAGGTTCTAATGCAAAGTCATTTGTCCCATTTTCTTTTGTCAAAGTAACGGTTAATCCTGAAGAGGTACTTGAATTGCCACAAATATACACGCCTTAACACAGAGGAATGCCTTTAGATATGTATATTTAAATATTAATTTATATTCACCTTTGGCGGATACACGCGAACATGCCTGTAACAATTGAGATTTTCCAAGGCCAGGATCTCCCACTATAAGAACATGTATATGATCACGTAAACCCTTATGTTTTGCATTACCGCCAAACAAACTTAACAACAATCCAGCTTTAATCATTTCATGACCATATATACCCGGGCACAATGAATGTACTAATAATGGAAAGATATTAGGCTTGTCATAAACCTCCTGCGAAAATTATCATGCGATTTATTTATATATACAAATGGAATACAAAATAAATTATTAGATAGAGTAAAATAAATGTATATAAACCTTAATTGCAAGATAATCTTTTATATTCATTTCATTGACAACAGTATCTGCGTTGATGCACTTTTTCTCAGTATTTTTCTCAGTATCATTGTTATTAACGTTATTGTTGTTATGAACTATCGTAATGGCTTCCATGTAAAAAGAAAACGAAGCTGCAGCATGCCCTTTAAACGTATTATCATCTATTCCTTGAACCTGAAGATACAAAGTTTAAGAAAGAAAGAAAGAAAGAAAGAAAGAAAGAAAGAAAGAAAGAAAGAAAGAAAGAAAGAAAGAAAGAAAGAAAGAAAAAAAAGAAATTTTAATTTTTTATTTATTGGACAACATAAACGCTCACTTTAACGATCCCTGTAAGCATTAAATCATCTCCTGGCATACAAGTATCTACTAAATCATCCAAAATTTTTACATCCAGTATTCTAGGCATTCTACCTTTAGTTTCCTAAAAATAAATCCCATATAACGAAATGACACAAAAAAATTATGCGATAACAGCTGTTAATATCATTATAAAAGTAAATGGAGAATAATTATTAATATATTATTATATCAATAAAAGGGAGCATACCTGTTCGTTATTTAATATCTCTTGTATTCTAATCATTTGAAAAGAAATAGTTCTAACATAAGGTGAATTCAATACAGGTTGAAACGTTGTCACACCACAAACTGTACATTTCTTAGGCACGGTATAAAATCCCTCCGACTGTTTTTCTATCTTTTCTAAACCACATTTTGAGCATACAAATACAAACCATTGAGCAAGCTGCTTTGTTCGTCCTACTCTTACAACGCATCCTCTTGTATTTATTAATTTTCCTTGAGAAAAATAAAAGGGACAATGGAAGAATATCGCGTAGACAAGATATAGAGAATAATATAATATGTGGTTTTAATATTATACCATACGAATTCACTTTAATATCTCGTAAACAAACAGTTTGTCCATAATTTAATATTCTTATTTTGACCGCAGGCAATAGATTTATTGAATTCAAAATACTTTTTAGATTTTCCTTTGACACGGTATTTAAAATATTCTGAAAAGTTAAACGGTGATACTATTGAGAGTATTATATAAATACAAGATTTCTCCAAAATGAAAATTTAGAAATATAATTTATATTAAATTTAATTCCAATTGTTAACAATAAAATTAATTCATCTTAAAAAACATTTATATGAATATACCTGATGAATTGCAAGTTTGATGCAATTTATCGTAAATATCGGTTTCTCTTGTATATCAGTTTTAAAGTTACTCCATTCATTTAGAAACGTATCGTCGTTAAACAAATTGTTAAAGTCAATGTTAAAAGTCATTCCAGCCTCTAAATTGGCTAATGTAAGAAATGATGATATATCTGAATAATTTTTCATGAACCGTTCGACAGCTTTAACTTTTCTTACAGTATCGGAAGACTTTTTATATTCTAAAATGAATGAAAAAGTTAATTAAATAGACATTATTTACTTATATCATATTAACGATAAAGCGAGATTTCTTTGATACCTTGCTCGTCAAAGTATAATGTCCATCCATAGTAAGGAATATTTGCATTTTCATGAATATATAAAGACGCATTATCCCGGGAAGGACTTTTTAATCGCTTTGCTGATCTTTCATTTGTATTTGTTATAGTTCCTATCGCAATAAGATAATATTAATTAGTAGTATAAAATATGCAAAGATATGTATCTAAGCTATGTAAGATCTATTATAATATTAATTCATATAGAAATAGAAAGCTTTTTACACCTTTTCAATGGGTTTTTCGTGGCAGATAAAAGGTAAATAATAAAAATTGGACCACGGAGAAACTTAATATACATTTCAAACTTACTAGTTTGCTTGGTTCCTTTACTTTTCATATACCAACGTTTTCTATAGAAATTATTTCTTTTGTCATCCATGTATGATGTATGGTACGTTGCAAAGATAAAAATCGTAAATAGTATTTAAGTAACAAGAAACTTATCTATCGTTATAACCACTTTCCTTGATCATAATAAGTTTTGTACCGGCGTTCAAACGGTTCGATCATAACATTTCTTCATTCGTCAACATGCAGCCATCTTGAATGAAATACGCGCGAAATTTCAATTTTCTCGAAAATTCAAATTTTTTAAATAATAATACAATAATATCTTACTAATGTATTATTCATAAGAGAAACAAAATCCCGAGATAGATATATTGTATTCATAATTTTATTTCAATAGGAAAATCGATCAAATTTACAAATGCAATGAACACAAAAGAAAAGAAAGGAAAAGAAAGGATTGGTATCTAAAACTTTTAATAACATATATAACATATATAATGCATGTATATACATAAAAAAAATGGGTGTCAATTTTTTTTTTCACAGGGATGACAGAAAATGTACAATTGAACTGTATGATAAGAACTTTTTCTACTTTTCCGAGAATATGCTGTATAAGTGTTTAAATCTATGTACATAAAGTAATGTACCTTTATATATATTATATGTATAATTAAATTTATGTATATGAAGTATTGTTACGTGTAAAATACGTTCATCGAATGATATCAAATAATATCAAGGAGGATTATTATTAGCAAGTGTATGCACAAACTTTATGGTTAGACATACGAAAAGTATTATAAATTAAACAATCTTACAATGCAGTACTATAAGAATTGGGTGTGCACTAATTCCAATCTTATCTAACGTAATTGATGATACATAATGTAAGTGATATATAAAGTGAAATAGAATATTTTTAATACGATATAATAATGTTTTGCTCTTCTTACGTATTACATCTTATTGTAGGAATAAAAATACCGCTTTACTAATTGTAAGTGTTAATAGATCGGGGCAGGTGAGATACGTTTTAGAGACACGAATTATGAAACAAGTAAATACAACAAACTGAGATAGTCCTGCGAGATTGCAAAATAGGATAAAGAGAGAATGAATTTTTTCGAAATATTTCTTAGGAAAGGTTAAACCTTTTTATCTGCATGAAATAAACTTTGCAAGTGCATATTAAGCGCTCCTTTGTGTTCGTTGATTATTTTCACATTTTTTTCAGATAGTATATGCTTAATGTAAGGTTACCTCCTGTCGGTAAAAGGAAGAGCTATTAAACGATTGTTAGCGACGCTTTTTAACAATTACCCCAATTTTATTTAAGCGTTACCTACCGACGATAATATATATATATATATATATATATATATATATATATATATATATATATATATGTATATAGTAATATAAAGTATAATAAATAATATATTAACTGTAACTAAATAATCCAGGTTATATTTAGAGTGTTATTTAAAATAGAACGCTAATAACGCATTAGATATTTAAAAAGTATGTAATATATTAAATATTGCTGTTTATATTACGTCAATATTCTTAATACTTTTTATTTTGTTTTCTAGAAAGGAAATGGAAAACAAAATAATTTTTGGAAATACCTATTTTTTTTACAATGCAATGTATATTATTGCTGAACATATGTACAACGGTATATTTACATTGTCGTTACAAAAGTTGTGAGAACATAACTGTAAACTAGATTATGTTTCAATTTACATACCTACCTCCGCACAACACTCATACACGTTTCGTTACTTAAAATAAAAAAAAAAAAAAAAAGAAATAAGAAGAAGAATCCCATCCATACACTTTGACATTCGATAGATCTAATTTTATACATACATATATATATATATATATGCACGCGTGATTTATTTATTTTCTTACCTGACTTTTATTTTGGATTAATTAGCAGCAATTAATAATTAACATTATTTTTCTCATTGAGGAATTTCACTATTGATTATAAATTCTTTTGCAAAAAACGCGGTAGGAGTGCAAAAGATAAATGTCATAAGGTTACAAAATTTTTGTTATTTAACGAATTTGTTTTCATTGCGCGAGGTTGTAATAATAAATTATCCAATTTTCGTTTCCAAACAATCGTCATTAAAAAATGGAATGGTTTACATTAAATAACTCTATAATATAGATATATTCGATAAGAGTATTCTCTTACATACAATGTCCGTTCGAATGAGTGATATACTAAGAAATATAAATAAGTCTAATTACATGGAATAATTGCATTGATATTTTCTCATACATATGTAAATAAATGTACATTCTCGGAAGAAAAAAAAGAGAAAGACATTGTTTTATTCAACAATAGCTATAACCGAAGTTTGTGTAAAGTCTTTAAACTTTGTTATGTCACTTAAATGAATTCTTTCAGTTGAAATGCCATCGATATTCGATATATTAAAATATATTTCTCGCATTCGTTGCAGTTATCCTTATTGTGTGTGTGTGTGTGTGTGTGTGTGTGTGTGTGAGAGAAATTTGGATCTGGGCGTTGCGTCAAGATTGCATCGGGGTTGCGTCTTACCAATGATTATAAAAAATGATGGGAAAACGTAGGTATCGTTGCTCGTTTACGACTCATTGCCATGTTTCTGTTGAAACGTTTTGAATAAAAAAAAAAAAAAGCATTGAAAACGCCAAGCTTGGTGACGACCTTCCAGATGCAGGATCGAACGACGATCCATTCGCTATTGAAAGGACTGTTCTTTCGAAAAAGTGAGTAAACTTAATCAATGACATCCGC